TGGAATTAATGGCTGCAATTAAACTGGGAGTTTCCACCAACGGACTCCCGGGCGGGTCCCAGCTCTCTCCGTAGACTGGTGCGCACCGCCCGCCTCCCTGCCCCAGAGAAGGTGCTTCGAGAACCCCACGGAATGAATGGAGCCACACGTCCCGTTTCACGAACGCGGACCCGGGGCCCGGGAGCCGGTGGGCGGCGGCGCGCGGAGCGCCCGAGCCGCTGTGCGGAGCGGGCAACAGGGAAACGGGGCGAGGGCGCGCGGAGCGGAAACGCGCGGCGGCGGCGGCGGCGGCGGCGATGACGCACGAGCACGAACCTCAAACCGCGAGCGGGACGCGCCGCCCTTCCCGGGCCCGGGTCACGCGGCCCCCACGTGCGCGCCCCGCAGGGGCCGGGGTTCGAGCCTCACGGTGACCTTGGCCCGGCCGCGGCCACTCAGAGCCTCGGCCGGCTCGTCCGCAAAGCGGGGCGGCGACCCCGCAGGCCCCCGTCGGCCGGTCTCCATGGCGGCCCGCCCCCTACCTTCCTGCCGGCAGTAGGACATGGCTGAGCCGACGCTTGCACCTCTCGGAAGCGGCGGCGGCGGCGGCGGCGGCTTCACGCCGTGACCTCCCTCTGCTCGGGCGAGGCGAGCACCTCCGAGGACCGCGCGGAGCCGCCCCTTCAGGTCTGCCCGCCGCGCGCCTGCCTCCGCGCCCCGCCAACCGCGGCCCGGCCCCCTCAGCCGAAAACTACACTTCCCAGCAGGCCGCGCGCCCCTCGGCCGCTCTCCGGGCAGTAGGAACTACATTTCCCAGAAAGCCTTGCAGCGCGCAGGCGCATCGGTGAGATCCGGCGCGTGCTGAAACTTCGCGGCGACGGCGCCTGACCCTGGACTCCATTTTCCAGGAGGCCTTGCGGTGCGCGTGCGCGGGGAAGCTGAGGTGCCCGCGGGGCGGCAACCGAGTAGCAAGTGCGTGCTGGTCCTGGGCTCCGCCCGCATTTTCGGAGCGCTGGGGCGAGAAGCCGCCGGACTCCACGCTGCGGTCGTCAACCCGCTTGCGAGCCGGACCGAGCGAGGCGGCAGCCGCAAGCCGGTGCCAGCATGGCCGCGAACGTGAGTGTCCCCCGGTCCGCCGGGCCACACCCCGACCTCCCCGTCACCCCGGGCCTCCTCCTCGCCCGAGCGGCGCCGCGGTCCCGTTTGCCGTCCGACCGCGTCCCGTGGCGGGCCCCGACCTCCCTCCGGGCGTCCGTGTCACCCGTGAGCTCCCCGCCGCGGGGATGCGGAAGCCGCGGGAGGAAGGGCCCGGGCTGGGCCGGGAGTGAAGGCGGCGGGGTTAGGGTTAGGGTTGGGGTTGGGGTTAGGTTAGGATTAAGGTTACGGGTTAGGGTTAGGGGTTAGGGTTGGGGTTGGGGTTAGGTTAGGATTCAGGTTAGGGGTTGGGGTTAGGGTTAGGGTTAGGGGTTAGGATTAGGGTGAGGGGTTAGGGTTAGGGGTTAGGATTAGGGTTAGGGGTTAGGTTTAGGGTTAGGGTGAGGGGTTAGGGTTAGGGGTTAGGATTAGGGTTAGGGGTTAGG